TTTGATGGAGGAATGTGGAGATTGAAGAAGTCAAAAATGAAGTTTGAGTGTTTGACGAAGGAATGTGGAGGTGGGAGAAGCCAAGTTGTCAGTTTGGAAAGGACAATATTTAATATTATATTAAAAAAGCTGCAATTTTTCCACTTTTCCCAAAAGAAAACAAATATATATATTACATAATGTATTGTAGGTGGGGACGTTGGGTAGAGTAGGACACAGACGAAGGGGCAAATATATAGTAGAAACTCTTTAAATTAATAATGTCAAGACCGGAGAAATTTATTAATTTAGAGAGTTATTAATTTATCGATAAATTAATAATTATTAATTTAAAGAGTTTTTAAGTAATTATACTGTACATACCAAACAAAAAGGCAAATTAATCTATGCCTCTTAGAATTACGTTGCAGCGAACCTTGGGACTCAACGTACAGTAAATTAGTAACTACACTACATATGCATTGGAAATCAATAATGACTTTTGAAATACAGTAAATGTAAACAAGAGGAACAAATGTGTTCAATGTATTCTTAAGCAAGTTTGGCATATATAAATTACATAAATGTGTTAGAGTATTCAAACCATATCTCACAAGATGACTTCTCATCTAAAAGGTGTTGCAAAATCAACTATGTCAGATCAAATACGTAAGGAGTTGTGTGAGTATAAGAGAGATAATCCTGCAAGCACACAAAAAGACTTGCAGAGATGGCTTGAGGAAAAATTTCAGTTGAAAGTTAGTCAAGGAACAATATCAAACACACTTAAGCGGTCAGATGACTATCTCTATGCTAAAATAGAAAAGGGAAGAGCAGAGATCAAAAGACACAAACTAGCAAAATATCCTGACATGGAGAAGGTTGTTTATGAGTGGTTTCTCCAGCATCAAGAACGTGTGAATATCACAGGAGAATTAATTTTGCAGAAGGTAAGAGATACAATGAAACTCGTGTACCCTCATGATGATTCAGATTTTAACTTCTCTATAGGATGGCTTGGAAAATTCAAGCATTGACATGGCATAAAGTCATTTCGTTGTTTTGGCGAGAGTGGGTCTATTGATATACAAGACATGGAGAAGAAATTGGTATCGATTCGGGAGAAAATTGATCAGTTTCCTATGAAAGATGTTTTCAATATGGATGAAACTGGGTTGTTTTATAGGCTACAAGTTGATCATTTACTGGCAACAAAACAACTTGAAGGAAGAAAACAAGATAAAGAAAGGCTGACGGTAGTTATTTGTTGCAATGAAGATGACTCTAAAAAAATCCCTCTATGGATTATTGGGAAATATGCAAAGCCTCGTTGCTTCAAGAATGTCAACATGAATAGCTTGAATTGTCAGTATCGAGCTAACAAAAAAGCATGGATGACTAGTGTGCTTTTTGATGAATATGTTCGTTCATTTGACCAAATGATGCACGGTAGAAGAGTTCTACTTGTGGTGGATAATTGTCCAGCACATCCAAGAAATATTGAAGGGCTAAGAAACGTTGAGTTGTTCTTCTTGCCACCCAACATGACATCAAATATTCAACCTTGCGATGTTGGGATAATAAGAGCTTTCAAGATGCATTACCGTAGAAGGTTTTACCGCAAAATATTGGCAAGTTATGAGGTGGGACAATCTGATCCAGGGAAGATAAATGTCCTTGATGTTATCAATTTGGCAATCCAAGCTTGAACGATAGATGTTCGAAAAGAAATAATAGCGAATTGCTTCTGACATTGTAAAATTCGTTCAGATAGTGACGTTGCAAGAAATTTGGATGAATCCACTTTTGATGAAGAAACTCAAGACCTCGAGACTATGATTAATTAATGTGGCTATTGTAATAAGGTGGATATCGACAATCTAATGAACTACCTAGGTGAAAATGAAGCATGTTCGGAGGTTCAGAGTTTAGAAGATATTGTGGGTACTATCATTGAGAACAATGCAGAGGATGACGACGAAGATGATACAGTGTCTTTGGAGCCTGTTACGCGAAAGGAAGCACTTATGGCGTCGAACACTCTTCACAACTTTATGATACAATACAAAAATACAACACCTGAGCTATTGGATGCAATAAAAAAAGTTAGAGATGAGCTCCAAATAGACTTGAACTTTAAAGGAAAACAGACAACTATTGAATCATATTTCAATAGAGTGTAATATATTTTTTTTCAGTTTCTATGAATTATTAATTTATGATTTTTTGGGGACCGAAAATTATAAAGGAATCTCCCGAAAAATTATTATCTTATTATTTTATCGAGTTTTTTAATTTTTTATATTGGCCCAGGTCGGGACCGGATAAATTTATTATTTTAGAGAGTTTATTAATTTATCGAGTATTAATTTAAAGAGTTTCTACTGAATAATGTAAAAGGAAGATGCGTGCCCATGCGTGTGTTCGGGTTAATCGGGTATATAATCGGGATATCGAGTTTGCACAGTAATACTCGTTATCTGAACCAAACCACGTCGGGTTTGATCGGTTTGGATCGGATCGGACCCGTTAAATATTAGTTTGGATTATTTTTTGGTTTGGATTATTGGGTTTATTGGTTTACCTGATCCAATGGACATCCCTAGCCACATCACCATTTAACTGACAGAGGTTAACGTTAGGTATAAAATTAAAAAAAAAATTAGTTAGACATTAAAATAAAAAAAATCTGAAATAATTTTTTAAAATAAATCCTATTTAGAGGTAGTTAAAAGGTATTTAAACTTTTCTAAAATATTAAAAAAAAATTACAACTGTCAAATTTAAAAAAAATATTCAATATTCTCTTAAGTTTATAAATAATATAACCATCACCTAAATTAGAAGCATGAATTAGCAAGAAGTAAACCTTTAGAAAGTGAAGTGAAGCCAATTTGTTTAACTAAAAGACATAAAGAAAGTTTATGCATGGCGGTTGGTCAATAAAGTAATAAAATCGGTGAATGGACTTTGAACTATATTCTCATACTCCTTCAAGCTTGTTTGGTTTCGTGACTTACGCATTTTACTGTTTTTTTAATACAAGTTGTTCTAAGTTTTGTTTTTCCTTTATCAGAAATTATTGGCATAAGATGAGTTGCGGTCATAAAATCTTAAAATATCTAAGATACGGGTCCACCCTTTATCTTAAGATCCAGCGTTGCATAATAACTTGAAGTTGCTAAAACACATGGACCAATAGTATCAAAAGAGATACAAGTTGTTTTTCTTTTCTTGGTCAAAAATGAGATTCTAGTGGTTGAGTAGGGAATTTTGTGTTTTTTTTAATGATTGGAGATGAACAATCCAATTTTGCTGTGCAGGGAAATTGTCTTTGGTAACTGGCTAGACATAATTTATGTAAATAAAATCAGGAGGAAAAAACATGAACACACATAATCAAAGTATTCATCATAATACTTCAGAGAATGGAAGGATTTAATAGAGCAAAACTTAATAAAATAAAAAATCTATCTATTATAAAATATTTTATAATAAAATTTATCATTCAATTATTTGAATAATAAATAAATATTTATATTCTAATATTATCTTTATTTTAAAATGTTAATATTTATATTCCCATTTCGAGTATCAATTTTTTTTGTTTTTAACTTTAGAGTTTGATTGACCAAATTCTAAATGCGTTTCCATCCTACCCAGTCTAGCCAATGGAAATGATCCCACAATATATATCATTACAGCCAGTAGCTCCATCTTGGGATAAAATTATATCATCAATGGTTGAAGAAGAAAACCAAATATATCTGTCAATAGACACAAATTTTCAACTGCATAAAAAGGGACAATGGGGGAATAACCTAAACTTAGTCAAAATCACCAGTAAGAAAAAAAAATTAATTACGAAGTATGTCTGAATCCAATGTCAAAATGGAGAAAAGGGGGTAAGAAGAAAAAACAGCATGGGCATGTTCTATTTGAAGTGGAAGTGCACACGCATCTTTAACATTGTTCTTGAGATTCAGTGGAAACAAATTAGAGAAGCATTAGATATGTTTTTGTTCCGTATCTAAAATGTTCGCGGCTTTGATGATTGCCTAAATATACTATCCATAAGGAATAATGTTTGTAATCAATGTGGAAGTGGGAGAATAATAGTTGAAAAACCATTAGTCCAAAATTAGAAATTAAACTAAAAAGTGTTTCACAAACTTTGACTTTACTTGGGGTGCATCAGATTCTGGTTGCTTGTGTCAAAAACATAGTGGAGGCAACTCTATCCAACCCTCTCGCTGTTGTTGCTTAATCATTGGTAAGTCTTTTTTTTTCTGGTCATTGGTACAACTCAGTGATTCACACAATTGGAATTGATTGACACACAGCTGCCAATGCCATTACCTCGTTAACTACAAATCAATAGTGAGAGTAGAAAATTTTGGCGTCTTGGTGGGCTAGAAATGAAGCCAAGAGTTTTGGGCCTAAGATTATGGCCCAAGCAACAAGGGTCAAATTTTTTGGGTTTATCTCTTATTTTTGCGATTGACTTATGTTTATATATATATGCAGTTTTTTAGCATTAAAATAGTTCAGATGTCAATGTTATTAAAACTAAGTTAATTTCATTCAATGAAAAATAATTAATTGTCATGACTTTAGATGGAAAATTTTTTCTGGGGTGAAATTGGAATCTACGGAATGTTTAATGACGTGAAAAAGCTGAAAAAGCAACGGGGTTAAAATACGTAGTGAATACTCCCCATCTCTTCCTCCACAAAAATAAATAAATAAGCTATTTTAGCCCTTACACATTATATCTATTTTTAATTGATTCTTATACGTAAAAAAATTAATTTAATCCTTATATGAATATTATTTTCAGTAATATTAGCATGGAGTTATAATGTAAGGACCAAAATCAAACTATTGTTACATATAAAGGTAAAAAATATTATTTCTAATCCTAATACGTAACTCATTTAATTTGGTCTTTGCATTTCACTATATTATAACGTCTACTGTGTTACAATAGTACCAAACAACAAATAGCGAATTGAAAATAATTGTGAAGACTAAATTGAAAAGTTTTTAGTATATGAACTACATGATGGTCATGTTTATGAAATAAAAATGCTTGTCATGGTGCGTGAGAAACATGAAAGGTAGTCCAGAAGAAAGGTTGCACACTGCACAACTCTTGCAAGAGGGAGTGTTAAATACGTGAAGAAACACGTAAAAATAAATAGAAATAGTTTCTTCAAAATTGATGTTGCATACGTTATAAGTATACTTAATTATTTTTTTCAGCAACTAGGGAAGCATAAAAAGAATCCTGATGCATAACTCACAAATATTTGAGTCTACTCTATTTTCTCAACTTGGTGTAACAACATGATGGGAATTGAACATTGCTGAACAATTTGAAGACATTGCAACATTACTCCCACACAAAGTACACAACTATTGTCACCATGTAAATGGTGAATGCCTTAAACTTTTCCACCAATATCACCATCCAAAATTGCATGCCTAGTTAATACAATCTCTTTAACTAGATTTCGGTAAGTGAATGGTCTAACAGCAGCTCGCAAAAATAGCTCTGGAGGAATTATGCTCTTCTTAATCCTTTTTCTCCATGGACCAACCCCAATATACTTCCATTCTTCTGGACTAACCTTTGCTCGCTTGCCTCTCAAGGCAGTTTCATCTCCATCTGCCAAGTGTGCCTTTTCTTCCTCTGATTGCTTCGTTTTCAGTTGCTTCTTATACAACTCTGTAGTGAATTCAATACTCCTTTTTGCCAATTTTTCCATTGCTTCTGGACTACTTGTTGCCTTTTGAAGCTCTTCTTTCCAGTCCTCATCCTCCTCCATGGCATGAAACTTACCATCTTCACTTTCTTCCATGTCCATAACTAGATCCTGGTCTTCAATGCCATCATCATCATCATAATCATCAATCTGCTCTTCTTTGTCCTCTTCATCATCAGTAATGTCAGCATTATCATCACCACCTTCATCCTCAATCCAATCTAGAATCTCAGTTTCATCAGGATCACCAACAATAGCATCATCATCTTCATCAGGAGCATCACAACCCAACTCCATCTCTTCTAACTTAGCCTTCCACTCTTTAGTATATGGATGTAACAATAGCACTGGATGATTGGTCAACAGAAACTCCAAACATTTTGACTTTTTCTCATCACTCAATTTCTGATATGCATTCACCACATCATCAACAAATGCTTTTTGACTCACCTTCACAATCTTGCACAAACCACCAAAATAAGTACACAACTCAACAGTACCATCATCATTTTGTAACTCAAAAAGAAAATCCCGTTCTGTGCTAGGATCAAGAAATGGAATTATTGCCTTGAAAAAGTTATCCTGTGGTTCAAATCTACACTGGAACACTGGTTTCTTCACATATATAATATCAGGTCTCATCCATGCTGCACATTGCCCTATCAATGACCTAGCCTTGCTACCAAGTCTACCCATCAAATTCCACTTATCTAATCTCTGCTTACCTGCTTCAAGTACTACTTCGCTAACTAATGTCCATTGCTGCCAAGGAAGGTCTGAAATTCTCCACCTTGGGTGCCTTATGAATACCCAAAAATACCTTAATTTACTTTGATCCAGCTGCTTCACTTTTTCCCCAAAATCTTGGGCCATTTCACCTTGTTCGATCCTCTCCCACTCCTCATGGTCCTTCACTTCACTGATTATTGAGACACACTCATCTGAGAACCGACCTCGAACAGGCTCACCAACAACAACTCCACGCCAAGAGTAAGGTCCATATTGACCATACTTATACCAATCATAAGGATGACGTAAATTTGGATCATCCTTCTCCATGAACCGGACCATTCGATCATAACCAAGACCAATTTGTTGGAGCTCATCCTCAGTGAAGTTATTAGGATAATTCCCACCTCCCCTTGGGTTTTTCAGCCGGTAGAATAAAGACTCAGCATATTTCTTGCTTCTTGCCCTGGCATTGCGCTTAATCCGTCTTCGGAAATCAGCACTGCCCTCAATTCGGCCAGAAGAGGAACCTCCACCAGACTTCTTGCTACGACCGGCATAAGACCGGAGGTCTCTCGTGCAGGGAGAGCATGGTGGATTCTGCCCAAAAAGTGTGTATTCACTAATTGGTTTTGGGCATTGGGATAATGACACAACTGCAAAAAGTTTCTTTGTTTGGAATTTTAGGCTTGGGGACTTGTGGAAAGGTCTAAGAGGAGAAAATTGAAGGTAAGCTGAAGATGGGTTGAGTGTTGTGGGCAAGAACTCACTTGCCAAATGGGTCAGATCCATCTCAAAAAGTATCCACTAGCATTAGCTCCCCAACTAAACACACAGAAACACCACCTTCCAAACAACATCAACACATATTCAGGGTTTCAAATTTCAAAAACTAGAATCATTATTAAATGGCACATCAAATATCTTGCAAAATTAACCAACGAGCTGAAAAAAGGAACGAAATTTAATAATAATAATAAAAAAAGGGCCCGTATCCCCTACCCCCTACCCGTTCGTTTCAGTTGGTGTATATGTAAACAAGTGTTCAACAAAATGATAAGACCAAAAAAAATGGAGAAAACCCAGAAAATTCAGCTCGGACCAAATAGTATAATGAAGTAAAAAGATAATTTTTTGCAAAAAAAAATAAATAAGAAAGGAAAAGAAAAGAAAATAGTGTTGGGGGAGCATAAGAGTAGAAGCAATAGGAAAGAGAGTGTACCATAATATATAAGATTGCTCGCACTCTTCGGTTGCTCTCAGCCTCACCACTGCCACTACTGTGAACTATGAAGAGAGAGAGAGAGAGAGAGGCGGCGTGAAGTGTTGTATGTGGGTAGACAGATATTTTGAAACACTACAGCTGCTGGGCAAATGTAAAAATCCACGATTTGGCTTGTCAAGTGAGAGAACTCGTGTAATTTAAATATTAAAAATTTATTGAAGCTCATTCAAAATTTATTTTATTCATTTTAATAGTTAATTTCTTTATTCTTTTAAAAAGATATTTCTGTTCATTATAAAATTATTTTTTATTCTGAAAGATAACCAAATAAGTTAAAAATTTCTTCTGAAGCAATTTGTTAACCATAAATGCCACTCTGATATATAAAACAAGCATATTGCAGTGAAATAGCATTTTAGCTTCTTTCTTTTTCCAATTTGTAAATTAGCTCAAAAAATTATAAGATTGTATAAAATTGAGTACATCGGAACAAATACATAAAGTTTAATCATGATTTTCAAAAAGTAAAATATTACATTAAATTCTTCATATCGTAAAGTGACATTTCAAATACTTTTACACGATCGAATAATTATAAAATTTATGAATTACTCTAATATGTTTATAATCAAATAATTGATTTGATGTTAACTTTGAATAAATAAAAAATTAAATTAAAATGTTAGATTATCAAATAAATAGTAATTTTTAAAAAATGTGAGTTGTATTATTATAATTTTTTTTTAGTACAATTTATACTAATAAAAAAGAAACATGTAGTAAATTATAAAAAATATATATTATTATATATAATTTATTTAAAATTATATTATTTACTATATTGTTTATTTATTCTATTATTATTATTAATATTATATATTAAATTTTATTTATTTATTATTTTTTTATAAATTTTTAGTTTCAAATAAAATATAATTTATATTTATTATAAATAAAAAATTATAATCAAATATATTAATATAATAATTAAATATTAAAAATAATAAAATTAAGAATATAAAAAATATATTAATATAATATTATTATTTTATTTTTAAATTTTAATTTGTTTAGTTTTAATTATATCCTATTTTTATTTAAAGATTTAACTATCTTCAACTTGTTTAAATTTAGTAAATATAATAATTTATTATTAAATAAATTTATTATTTAAATACATTTATAAATATTTTTAATTTCAAATAAAATATAATTTTTATAATATAATATATTAATATAATAATTAAATATTAATAATAACAGAATTAAAAATATAAAAAATATATTAATATAATATTATTATTTTATTTATAAATTTTAATTTATTTAATTTTAATTACTTTAACAACTTTTTAACTTATTTAAATATAATAAATATAATAATTTATTATTAAATAAATTTATCATTAGTTAAAAAATTTTAATGTGCAATACCTTAAAAGTTTTTAAAAGTACCACGGAATTTACCTTCTTAAAATCAAGAAATAATTTGATGCAAAAGACTTAAATAATATTACACATTTTCCCCAATTAAAATAAATAATATTAGAATATAGAGTTCATCCTTTACTATTGAATTTGGGGTTGGGGGCTTGTAAAGTCGACCATATTCAGAAAGATGATACTGATGGAGAAATCACTAAGTCGCTAGAGATGACGAGTGAAAGATTGTGAATTTAAGAATGCGTGGGCTATTCCGTCACCCCGCGCGCGCATATATATATATATATATATATATAATAAAACAGGAGAAAAAAAAGGGAAAAAGATATACAAGAAATGAAAGAATGATATCAAATCCAAAGAAAACCCATTTAAGAAACGCATAAATCAAACATGGGGAATATTTTAGAAGTGAGATACAAAGTTCCTAATGTTTGGACTAAACATTAATTAAAAATATAACAGATGATCGGCCTAAAAACATTGTAATATACAAATAAATTGAATTATATAAACAAGTTAAATGATGCAGACTAGACCTAACCAGCACTTCCGATGATCTAATGTCAAGAATCAATTGACAAATACCTCGCTGCCTCCAAACGTAATATTTACACCTTGCGTAGTCCTATTCTTCTAAAAAGAGTGAGTGTGAACCTATTTTGTTGACATTCCCATTGCAGGGATCAGAAACAAGAACGTGAGTTTACATCAACCGCGTAGGCGCTTATCACAAACCAAGATCCTATAACTTGCATGAGGACCCTCAGCTGTATCTCGCACTTTCATTTGCCAGCCAATAGCCTTGCCAATCTGTACAAGCTCATCCATGATGGCAAGAGAATCGCGGATGTATGCCCGTCCACCGGGTCTTAGTATCCGATCCATCTCAAGCATAATTGATGAGAGATTGCATCTGATAGGAGAGACAAGGATGAGTAACAGAACGGATATCCAAACCATTTCACTTTGCTTGGGAGAAATAAAATGTATAGTAGTGAAGTATGCTTCCTAATCTTAGGGTAATATTTACAGGTAAAATTCTGTCAAGCCACATCTTCCAGGTCAACCTAGCATATTTTCCATATAATACTCTTTTTTTGTTTTAATTAACACAAATGAAAAAGTAATTAACCACGAAAATGATATAAGAGCTGACAATCGGAGAACAAGTACCTTTTCTTCTCAACAGAAAGCAGGTTTGCAGCATGCAGTAAATCATACGTTCTTGGGTAGGTGTCAAATGGTTCGCACCTAAATTATTAAAGAGAAATATTACTGCATACTGACAAGTTCGCAAGATCTAGGTAGAAGTTATTTAGTATGAGTTTAATAAAATAGAAAATAAGGTCAATTACATACCAGTCATGCACGACTCCAATCAGTCCGCGGTCATATATAACAGGCAAGGTGTTTGGACCACTAACAGGAACAACATTCATAACCCAGCTGTCAAGATTCTGATCAATCATTGCAGCTGCAAACCTGCAAAGTACTCAAATTATTGAAAATACTAATCAGAAAATCCTAAAGTCATATTAAACAAGAAAGGAAACAGGATAGAGGCAATACCCTCCAAAACCAGCTCTCATGTCCATAACATTTCTTAGTTTCATCCTCTTCCAACGTAAAGCTCGTACATAGCTTGCTATTATCTCATTCCAATATTTTGATTCTGCCCTAAAAAGCTCTTTTCTGGACATGAAAGCATCAAATTTTATGCTTTGAAGCCTATCAGGTGTAGTGTGCAAACGCTCAGGCCATTTGGCAACAGTTGCTCCATATCCATTTGCAGGCAATTGAGAGATGCATGCTTTTAGATTAACATACCTAAATTAATGAAGCAAATAATGAAGTCACCAGTATTAGGCCTATAATTTTTTTTTTTAAATAAATCATTTGGACAGATGAAAAGATATCATGAAGCTTGACCCAAATTGTTAAAATTTTAAATATAATTTGTCATCAGGTTTCTTTCCCATGGTTGGCATAGGGTTAAGGGTGTTTACATAGTGGGATTTCAGGTAACCTATACAAACAGTGTAATCATGTTAGATAACATACTCTGCATCCTTAAATAAATTATATAAAGGTTTCACTTTTTTCTTTGACCCAAAAGAAAAAAAAGAACTAGTTCCTATTCTGGAAAGCTCTATCGCATAAGGTGATAATGGTACATTTACATTTTGTTGCATCATTAAACTTACAATTGGATGAGAATGTCTTATAATCATCAGTAGATCAGAAAGGCAAGAACACAATACCAAACATTGTCTGGGTCATCACTTTGGTCACAAAGTGGAGGTTGGGTTCCTGCCTCACGGTTCCTATAGCAGGTATTGTCAGAAGGTTTCTGCCATATTGCAACATAACCGTCTTTCTTCAAAAACTTCCAGCATAGACGAGTAGTAAGATTAAGCATCTCTGAAGATAATAAAACCCAATGTTACACTCACCATAAATGCAGACCACATTTTGGGAAATGGAGTTAGACCAAACCAAGCAAATTACTAAATATTCAAGTAAATACAATACATATAGAAAAAAGCAAACGGGAGAAAAGAGCAGGTATTTGATAACACCACATGATAAGATACTTTTCCTTATTCATCTATTAAGCCATAGAATCATAGCACACAAGAAAGAGAAAAATAAAGAATTATATAGAAACATAAGATAGGAATGTGCAAAAGTTCTAAACTTTTGCTTGGAGTTTTCGATAAATCTGAGATTTGAGAGAGGCTCTAGCTCAAAGGTTTGTCCATATTAAAGATTACAGGTTGATTCAGTCGGTCATCTTGACACACTGAAAGAAACATGATTACAGTTAACATATAATTTGGTGGATACATCATGTCAGAAAATGCTAGTATTAATACAAATGTACCAAACTGAGCAGTCCATGAATACAATACAATGACTCTATGGCTGAAAAGCTTCCAAAAATTCAATTTAAATGGAAACCAAGTTGAATGGTACCTTCCCATTGTTCTTCTAAAACTTCCTCATGTTTATAAACTGGCTGAGCAGCCCAGACAAAGAACCCTCCTGCTCTTAGCATCCTATTAACTTCAAGCAGTAGAATACCATCTTCATCAGAAATAAAAAGGTGAGTTAGAAGAAATTCAAAGTGAGAAATTGACACATAGATAGGAGGAGCACATTGAAATAGCTATATCCATTTTATTTTCACCAACAGAATTTGTTGATAAGATTTCAAGTGTTCAGAAAAGAGCCCTGCTCCCCTTGTACCCCCCTTTCCAATTCCCTTTCCTACTAATAAGCCAAGCATGATATCAGGTTAAGATTGATGCCAAATCTGCAGCTACAGTAATTACTAATTAGCTATTAGCTTTCTCAATAAAAAGAATCTCACGGGGATAAAATCAGGATCCATCAAGAGAGATTCCAATAATAGACTAAAGTGCACATATTAAGATATAAATACAGCACTCATTTCACACAAAAATAGGAAGTTTGGAAACGACTAGGGAAAATGAAAGGGAGCAAGAGGTTTTAAGAATCATATTCATAGTGCATTTTAATGACATTAACAAGACAGCATATTGAAAACTGATAACTAACTACAACATGCACTCCTACTGGCCAATTAACTGTTAGAGACATACCATCACGAGTCCAATTAATTCTACAACGTGAACAATGTATCAAGTCAAAAGCTTGACTTGGATATAATAAACGTCTAGTTGCAAATGCAGCCACCATTGCCGGCACACCACGCTCAAGAGCAAACTGGATCTGATTCTCATGAACATCCTTGGGAGCAACAGACATGGTTATGACATTTCGCGACAATAAGTATGCACCAAAACTAGCAACCCCGCAGCCAATATCAAGAGCAACTCGTATATTCTGTCCAAATCTAATATCAGGAACCATCTACAAAACAATGAATAAAAAACATCAGAATCATAGAAGATGCACCTAAACATTCCTTAAAAGCCAAACCAAAACATCTATACATAACATTAATAACCTTAGAAATATGGTCCAAGTATTGATCTGCTCCATGTATAAATTGGGTACCACCCCCGGGAAACTTAATCTTATCCCTGTCCTTGGAAATCCAGTTTTGACCTCCTTTATCTTCTACAAGATGAGTGTGAGGAACATTATTGTACCATACCTACAAGGGAAAAAAAAATATTGCTTTTAGAAAACCGATTCCAATGTACAAACACCACCACCTACCAAAGAAGAAAATTGAGTAATAAATAACAAAATTTAGTCTTAAAACTTTTACTTATATTACTCCTTTCCCTGATAATTCCTATCTATATAATTGCATGTTAGGGAACCTTTTTATAATAATTAGTTATTAAATTTGGTTTTAATTTAAGCTAAACTCATGCACTGGATTTGAGAAGAGGTGAAAAGAGCATGTTACCTCATCGCGGCTCCTGGGCCAGGGAATGGGGGAACGATAACCTTTAGAGGGTGGAATCAAGCAATTGAATCGTTTAGCTTCTTCCGGACAATGCCTCTCGAACTTTTCCCCTCTTTGCGTTGATTGAAGCATCCGAATCACTTCTGCGTTATCCAAACAGGGTATATGTTCGCTCATGGAGCGCTGGCACAGCTCAAACTTCGTAATGGTGAATTTGGGGGCAGAAACGGAATCATCAAGTTCGGTATCGTTGACCCACTGGTCCACTGCCTCAGGGTCGAAAAGCCCAACCTCGAACTCGTCGGTCATAATGCCGTCTTCATTGAGGATACCGAATTTCCGAATCGAATCCTCCGGCGGCGGCGGCGGCGGAGGAGGCGGCGGAGGAGGAGGAGGAGGAGGCGGGGATGAGGTTGGTTGTACGATCTGGGTGAGGTTGAGGATTAGGGCAGAAGTATTGATGGATTTGTTGAAATTGTGGGAAATTGTGACTTCGGGGGTTGCGGCGGTGGCGGTGAAGAAGATGAGTTGGTGGTATCCGTCGGAGAAGTGTTTGCCTATGTAGAAGAAAGTGGCGGCGAGGAGGAAGAAAGCGGCGATCTTAAGGAGGAAATGGGGATTGAAATTGGAGGGTTTCATTGTTTAGGAATTGAATGCAATGAAGAAGAAGAGTGAATAATAACAACAGAGAGTGTGTGATTCAGTGATATGAGGATTGGAGAATGACGTGAACTGCGCCGCTACAATGCCATAGCGGCTATATTTGTTTTACTGTTATGCCGACACACTCCACAGTCCACACTCCACTGGCAGGAGTAAATCCAGTTCTTATTTAATTATTTATTCATACTTGGCTAATGTAAATGTTATTATTATTATTATTGTTCAACTACGAATCAAAGATGGATTCATGTTTAGTGCTGGTCTGATAAATATGAACATATGACAAGCCCAACTCTGTAGGATATATTACCGTGTTTTATTTTAATTTTTTTAAGTAAAGCTAAAACTGAAATAATTTTACTAATTGATTTAGGTATTTAGCAATATTTTATTTTAATTTAAATGAGATAAAAAATAATATAAATATATTCTATCAACTTTTTTAAACTTATTAACTTAGGATAAATTTTCATTTTAAGAATTCTTAATAAAAAATAATATATTCATTCTCTTCTCATCTTTTTAAATTCTTTATTATTATTATTGGATTTTCACTATTAATATTTACATTTTAGTAATCAATACTCTTTAAAATTTTTAAAATAATAAATTTTTATTAAAAAATATGTTAAATTGAATCATAAATTACAGGAATAGATATTTTTATTATATTTTATAATAAAAAATAGTTCTTTAATTTTTTTTTTAACTAATACTTTAAAACATAGTTAATATTTGTCTTGATATTATCGTCACTTCCCGGCACCAACCACTACACTAGTATCATCTCCTAAAAGCTCTAACATCGTCATTTCATTAAATAAAAATATTTTGAAAATAAATAATTAGAAACTTTTCTATTTAACCATTAATTTTAAATAATTAAAGGACAAAGCAAGAAAATATATTCAAAAAAAGAAAACATAATTTTAACCAATGGTTAAAAATTTAATAGTTAAAATTGTAAAAATATATATATATATATATATATATATTCTCAAGTCAAATTAATCAAAATTTAAAAGGCAAATGTTAACTCTTATTCTTCTTAAAACACTAATTAAGGAATAAAAATTAATTTTTTTTATTAGAAAGTGTTATTAGTGCATTATGTTTACTCTTCACTGATCTTGACGTTTCCTTCAATTCACCTTTCAATGATATACATGCGCTTTTTCAGAAGAATGCAACTGGAAACTTCAGAGTTTCTGAAAGATGAATTTCCCTTTTCATGCACTGCACCGCTGGGTTTGGGAAATGTGAAAACTTTCTGAGGTACAGTGTTATGTGAAGGCTTGCTGTTTAATGTAATGTGATTAGATGTAGTAGTGGGTTTCTTTCAACTCTAATTTCTTCCATTTCTTAGAGTGTAGCGATAAAATAGCATTGCATTAATTTATTAAACTTCTTCCTATTTAGAACTCCCAACTAAGTAGCATTATACAACAAGTAGCATTTATAAACTACATTAATTTCCTGTTTCTATATGAGCATTCAAACACATTATTGCACTATATATGTAGTAAGGGTCAAGACTTTGAGCCGAAGGAGAACTTAGGCCAAAGAAAAGCACCCATTGCAAACTCTCTTTTGTAGGCCAAATCACCATGTGTAGGCAACCCATATTCCTCGAGGAGCCGATCTAGCTTCCATTCAGGCATGTCTTGGTAGTCTTTTTGTGTATATCTTGGATAGTGTAGAGGCATCTGAAAGAAGTTAACACTACTTTTTGAGGGGCTTTCCATCTCTCTATCTCTTTTCTCAATATTAGAGTTTGAAGTTGCTACTTCTGTGTCATGCAACTTTTTTTTTCTGTATTTATTTCGTTGAGGAAGAGATAATATATATTTGAGAGTTAATTAAGTTGATGACAGGCTCTATTGGCATGAAGGGTATCACATGTATGGGTTGGCGTACCTTCTCTCACGCATCAAGTTAGTGGCTTTAGAGTTCAATGCTTCATGACACGTGTTTAGGGTCTTCGGAGTATCCATCAGTTGCAGCAAGTCCTAGAGACTCACACTGTTTATTTTCTATTCCTCAAAAGAAACATGCAATGCGACTAGCAATCTAGCATGCGGATTGCATAAAAATTAATACACAGTAAATTTTTATTAAAAATTATAAGATATTATTAAGTTTAATGGATTTAGAATATTAAATATTATAAGTTTTAATAAAAAATATTTATTATTTTTTATCATGTATTAATAGACACGTTAAAAAGGTAATTTTATGCCATGAAAAGTACATTTAATAGTTAAAATAATTATGATTTATGTATATAAAATTATATAAAGATTATATTCATTAATTTTTTCTGCTGGAGCATTGGTGTATAATAATATTATTATCTGTACATAAATCATGTAAATGTGGAGAAAGATAAAATTGATCATTATTACTTCTTTAATAACAAAGTTAATTATTGAAACTTTGTTTTTATTTAATATATTCGTTAAGGGTGTTGGTCCATCCACGCATGGGCACTCAGATTTGGTAGGGAATTCCACGAGGGAGCACGTGATCGCTTGACCTACAGTGGAGCTCTAAACTTTATGCACAATTTTTATGCTTTCAAATTACAAGTTACTTTGTCATTGTCCCCAGAAATTGAGGATAATCTTATGTCGGCTACATTATCCATGAATGCATAGCAGGGACCAAATCCTAAGTGATAATATTGAATAGGAATTTGTTTTTTCAATCAATGCAATGAATTTTAGAGTCCCATAAAAAAAATTCAATGCAATGATGAAAACTCTGTGTAATTTAACGAAACCTTTTTACTTTATCACACTTGTGTGTCATGGTCTTATTAGAAGTGGAAATATAAATCAAAATCCATCTGCACCTAAATAAATTGACGTGCACGCTAATGTACAATAATAGCTTCTTTGCTTTGAACGTTAGCTAAAACTAGTAAATTTCCACAACTTCTATGGTGGGGACATTTACCTTTTCATGTGGCTAGTTATTCTGATGTAAATCTCATTTCCTAAAATTACAGTTTTCAGCTAAAAATAAAAAATGAAAAACTTGAGCGTGCCCATAAAGATCTTCCTCTCACCGTGTCCTTTTTTTTTAATGACATTGCCCAATTTGTTAAACAAATAAAATGCTAAATATTGTGAAAAAAAAAAGTGTGAATTTTACACTTATGGACCTTTTTCTAAAGATGGGGATGTTCACTTTTTATCTACTGTGATTTTCATTTTGTTTTATCGTTATCACGTATATTTGGTATCACTTTGGTGAAACAGTTTTCCAAATATTAAACAAATAAATTTTCATTCCTCATCTCATCACTTATCCATACACCACATTGACCACTGTCCAATGATTGAAGAGGGAAATATCCAACGGTTCAAACTAAATGGGCCCGAATCTGATACTTCACTGTTACCATGCTTTTTCTAATTCTAATGGTACAAAATAAATAGGTGGTCGCTTTTAATACTATTCTTCTTTTCATAATTTAATTTTTAGAAATGATTAATATATTTTAATAAAAAAATAAAACCAAATAAATATGTCGTTGTTGTGTAGAGGCGCAAAATTCAAACATGAAATCACGTGAAAAGGGTCCACGATTGAGTGCAACTTCACCAAAACTGTTTTTGATAAACGACGTTGAAGCAGTTACCCATCGCTTTGTCATGGGTCCGACCACAGGCAATTATTACCAAACCATTTTCAACCACAGGCTTTGTTATCTAAATCGTAGGGCCCGGCCCGTTCTATTATTGGTGAAGCTTTTCTAGACACACGATAATGTTAGCCCATTCATGAATTCGACACGCGTGTGTATGAGGGCCCAGTTGACTGTTTTGGGTCACTGTGTTTTCTAGTAGACGTGGCTTACTTAAGGCCCAAATATTATTGAAAGTTTGGAATTATGGCGCAAATTTAGTGGCGATTAGAGTGGAAGTTGTAAGTATTGGGAGGCTTCCTGTCTACCTGAATTTGTTTGGGCTGGGCCTCTGGGCTGAGCTGGAAAGTAAGGGAGTGCTGTTAGGTCCTTGTTAGGTTTAATGAAGTAGTGAGGTGATTTGGTTGAGCAGACCGAGTTTGAAGTACATGAAAGAATAGACCGAAAGTTATAAATAATTTATGTGAAGAGATCAATAGTTATTTGAGAAATAAATGATTGAAACTAATGAAAGATACATATTAATAGCAAAACAGATTTTCAGAAAGTGACAACACTAGACGAGCAAATGAAGAATAACATTCGTGTAGAGGTTGATATGAATAGTTTAAGCGTCAATTTTATATTCTATCAAAATTTGTATTTAAACAGCATTTAAAGCTTATATCTATTTAAGATACTTAAAATTATACTTTTACTCATTATTATATCATATCAATTATTTATTTAATTTAAAATTTTATAAATTATATTTTAAACGAGAGATAAATATTATTTTTAAATATTATACCATCTTCATCATTTATCTCATAAATTATTTATTTCTTACAAAAGAATGAGAGGGTAGGTTATACATACCGATTTACTTATTTGCAAGAATCGTGATTTTATAAATTTTTATCCTAAAAGTCACACCTTGGTTATTAACAAGTCTTAGTTTGATATTTATATTCTTCAATAAATTAAGCTTCTGTCAAAATATTAGCTTTTAATGAAATAAATAAATAAATTACCTTGGTAATTAATTAAGTTTAGGTCGTTGAATTATATTTTTGTATATCAAACATAAATTATATTACTGAAAAAATGTAAATTACAGATAAATTTTAGAGATATTATTAATAAATTTATTATTATAATTGAATTTACACATTGAAATAGAGTTGTTTATAATTTTTTCATTAGTAAATAAATATAGATAAATATTTTTATTCGTAATTTAGAGATAAAATTTCTCATCTATAATATTAGAAAAATTTTCTATCTGTAATTTAAAAATAAAAAAAATTCATTTGTAATGTTCCTAATTATCATAATTATTCTTCGTTATTTTTAATTATCACAATTTATAAACATGAAAAAAAGTCTTT